GAAGGAGGGAAGTTGGGGGCGCGGAGCGGGCGGCCGGGCGGGCGCGGGGGGCGCGGGGGGCGCGGGGGGCGCGAGGGGCGCGGGCCGCCAGCTGGCGGGCCAACAGGTGCTGGCGCAGACAGGGGGTACTGCGGGCCCCGCGGCAGACGGAGCCCACACTGCGGCGAGGAATGCCGCCAGGCGGCCCCGGCTTCCTTTCCCCTGGGCGCCCCTAACCCCAAATAAGGAGCCTGCGGGCTGTTCAAGGGTGCTGCAAAAGCAGAAAGAGAGAGAGAGGGAGAGACAAAAAAAAAAAAAAAGTAGGAGAGGACAGCCACTCCTCCTCCTCCTCCTTCTTCTCCTCTGGCTCTCCCTGGCTGTGACTTGTCTTTCATTCCTAAGGGGATCCCCACTCCCAAAGCGCTTTGTCAGGACTCGTGGCCAGAGTTCTTCACTGAAGGAGGGAAGTTGAACTCAAGATCCTTCCAGAATGGCTCTGTCTGAAGGAGGATGAATAAATCAAAAGAAAGTAAAGATAAAGAATCCGAGTCGCAACAAGAATTGAAGCCATGCACTATTGTATCCAAATGCACCCTGTTTGGCGAGGAACTGAGGGTGGAGGGTGTCACTGAGGAGAGGAGACCCTGAAATCCAGCTCTTAGAGTATCTGGGAACATAGTGTGGCAATTCACATACAGGCTGTCCTGGAGGCCCTGATGTTTGAACTGGTTGTCTTTATGCACGAAGTACTTTGTGTTGAGACGCAAAGTTCCTATGGGGTTATCTAAAATGAGAAAAACATGTCAGCAGGGCCTAGGGTAGCTCCACGTGCAATGCATGTGTCTGTGACAGGATCCAACATGCTTTCCTTATCAAGGGGCAGAAAAGCCTCATGAAAGTGTTGAAGGCACAGTAGGGTTTGAAATCTAAACAAAAGATGCATCTTTGGGGGGATAATAAAAAAAAAAACGAATACAAGAAGAATAAAAATAACATTATATCAAGCCAATGCGGTGGTGCTAAGTCAGACAGATGTATCACCACCAAGTACTTAGTTGAATCAGTCAGTGTATGCAATCCAACCGCAGAACTAAGGTAAACATATTCCTGAAACCAGGCATGGTTTGGAGCCAGAGATAAAAGGCTGGTCCAGTCCACATGCTAAAATGTCAAGCTTGTTCTTTGTTCTTGGACACCATTGGAGCCTACCAAACAGCCCTGTTCTAGCCAGGTCTCAGTCCTCTTCTCTTGTCCTCTAAATGGGTACTTGACAGGTTGTTCATTATGATACCTCATGTTTGGCATCTAGGAAGTCCCTGGTCCAAACAAATAAAGATGCTGTTCTCCTGTAAAATCTTTACAAATCTGTTCCATTCATTCATCCTTACCTGTGGATTTCTACCTTCATGGTGCTGCATACAAAGACAAGTAAGCCCCTCGCTTAGACTTTAAATGTATGTATGTTAGTGGTACTACGAGTCTTGTTACTTTATTCCAGTTAGCAGTGCCTCATCTTCAGTGCAATTCCATAGTCACATACATGTATTTCAAAACTGTTCCTTACATTTCTGAATATGTAAAGGAGAGCTCCCAATTTTAATCAAAACGAGACACACAAAAAGGCATGCCTTTTGAGTAGATCTGTGTGCAATCCAATCCATTAAGATCCAGTCTTTGTAATTTACTTAGTTTTCTGATCAGGGTTTTATAAATGAGCTTTTTGCATCTCCATACAGTTGGCGTTCTTGACCACCCACATAGGGTAAGTGTGTGCTCAGACTTAATCCATTTGCACTCCAAAGACTGGAAGGAGTGATGACTAAGCTTTACTTTGTATCACTTCAGATTGGCTAGAACAGTGCCTGGCACACCGGGATCATAAATAAACACGTTGGACTGACTGACAGGTTTCTTTATTGGACTCACATTCTCCCTGGAATTTCAGAGAAGGTTGTATTTGAAAAGTTACAGATGATCTACAATACCACGCCACCTCTGCGTTTCACCTCATCCATATTCTACAGAATGATTTGACAATTGCCTTATAAATAAAGCCAGCCAGGTGCTCCTGAGTGACCCCAAGACAAAATCACAGCCATATTGGCTGGTTTCCTTTCAATGCACTCACATGGTTGTTGTTTGAACTGTTCTTGCCCTTGGCAAAGTTCTTTTTAACACTTTGTCCTCTGCTGGTATTTGGTTCTCTTTTGCTTTTAAACTTTCCCGGGAAAGTAAAGCCGTTTTGTTGAAAGTCAGTTTTACAAAATCCAGAGTCCTGTAATTACTAAACAATCTATTTTAAATGAATATGGCTTTGTTTTAGCCCAAGACATTTTCCTTGAGGAACAGTATCCATGCCGCCAAGCAAGGAAAAATAATTTCAAACATTCTTTGTGGTTTTCTTTTCTTTTCCTTTCTTTTTTCTTTTTCTTTTCTCTTTCTTTCTTTCTTTCTTTCTTTCTTTCTTTCTTTCTTTCTTTCTTTCTTTTTAACTGTAGGATGCTGTGGATATAGTGATCCTTCTGCCTGCTGGACACATTGGCAGAGTGAGTGCAGTGGAAAACTATACAGAAATTATGGCATGATGCACTTGATTTGGGATGGCCATATGGGTGAGGGGAAGATAAGATAGATAGATAGATAGATAGATAGATAGATAGATAGATAGATAGATAGATAGACAGACAGATTTGGAACTGAGATATGCTTCCTGACAAGATAGTCCACCAGTTAATTCTGAAATAATGGGAAGGGAAGAAGGGTAGGGTTTGTAGAAATGCATTTCTGAACCAGAAAAATCAAATAATACTGATTGAATTGTCCTTTTTCAGTAAAACAAACACACAGACACATACACACACACACACACACACACACACACACACACACACACACACAACTATGTGAAGACATTTCACAGACCTTTCCAGCATTTCTGTTTTAGGCAATTGAGCAAGAGTCCCTAAAGCTCTGAAGCCTTTGTTCTTCATCAACGCCCATCAATCCTGCTTCCCAAATGCTAACAAGCAACAATTATACCCACATATGGAAAAGCCTCTGCCCAGGAAATTGTTACTAAGCAAAGAAAATGCCACAGACCACAACAGAAATAATATCTGTTTCTGGGAGGGGGGATAGCAATAAATAAATAAATAAATAAATAAATAAATAAATAATAGAGAAATGTTGTCTGAAAGCTTTTCTTGCTGTGATCTGCTTTCTCCTGTCACCTCATATTGGTTGTAGAAACTCTTCTTTAAAACAATAATAATAATAATAATGATAATTTCTATTATCATTATTATTACTATTACTACTACCACTAAACTGGATTTCCAATCTAGAAATAACAAAGCACACTTGTTCTTACATTTACTCTCTTGGCATCAGGTATCTCTTCCTCTCAGAGCACTCTAGGCAAAATTTACCTTCTATGGCAGATTGAAGACAAATTTGTTAAGGCCTTTCTTTCCAAGGAATGGAAATGTGCTCACTCTGACTTTAAAATGGGCTAAGAGAGTAGAGGTCAGAAGTTAGATGTGTGTGGTCCAAGACAGGATACACAGGTGACAAGGACAGTTGTTGAAATGGCCCTCTGAGCTCTTTCTCACTGAAGTACAGCTGCTGTTTCCTCTTTGAAATCACAGTGAGTGTGCACAGAGGTTTGCAAACTCTCAGAAGTTCTTGTCTAAACTTGGACCTCAGAGAAAGTAAGCAGCCAGCAACCATCCCCAAAGAAAGAAGAGGCTTGAT